TGCAAAACATCCTATGCGCGCGCACTCGTATATCAACTTCATCAGTTGTCAAGAATGCCTTGCAACACGTGAGACGAAGTGCACACGCGCGCGTCGTCGCGCGCGCATGCCGGAATCGTTCGAAAACTTCGTTTTCGAATGAGTTTCAAAATCGAATGTCGAAACAACCTGCAGAAACGCATGGTTTCGCAACAAGGATTTTCAAACAGGGTGCGCTCTCTCTCTCTCTGGCTAATTCTCACGAAATCCATGGTTTGTCAACTGTTTCATAACATGCTACCAGACGGGGCTTCGCGCGCGCATGTCGCAATCGTTCGAACGCTTTTGCGCGTGTGCTGTCGCAAGAATCCTTTGCAAAACATGGGGCGAAGTGCACGCGCGCGTCGTCGCGCGCGCATGTCGGAGTCTATTCAAGTCAGGGGTTCGTACTGATTTCAAAACCTTGTATCGCGACACTATACAAAAACACATGGTTTCGCAACATCACTTTTCAGAAAAGCGTACGCTCGCGCTCTTGCGAACTCTTAAGAGAGCCGTAGGTTTTCCTACATCATACCATGCGGGCCACTCTCGTGCGTCGTCCGCGCGCGCATGTCGAACTCCTTCCAAAACCTTCATCGCCGACGCGAGGACGCCGTCGTCGTCGTCGGCGTGATCAGCGTCGGTGCCGTCATTGGCCGTGCCGTCGTCGTTGTCAACGTCGTTGCCAGCATCGCTACTGTCATCATCGTGTCTACCGTTGTTGACGTTGCTATGAGAGCGCGTTCGCGCCAGTCGCACAAAACTAGCTGGCAGCTGCGCGGGCGAGCATGCGCGCTCTAGCGCGGCCGCAGAGATGCACCAGCCAACACCAAGCATTCATCGTCGCAGTCGCCTGCGCATGGGTTCTGCAGGCCAAGTTGTGGGTGGTTGGGTGGGATGATTGCGCGAACAGTGGAGTCGACATCTTCAAGTTCAGCAGGGTGACTTGCACCGCGTAGCTTGCGCCCCATAGTTTCCTTTCTAAACGAATATAGATTCTACCCCCCCGGGAGTATCGCTCCCCCGATACGTTGTGCAATTTGCATATGGCTCTGCCCCATCCTTCATCCTAGATGCGAAGTCATGCCGTTCCAGGACGGCCAGTATCGACCCCCCCCGCCATCTTCTGCAAATCATATTGTGCGCGCGCTCGTTTATCACGCGTTATAAGTTTTCAAGCATCCCTTTCAAAGAATGGGGCGAAGTGCACACGCGCGCGACGTCGCGCGCGCATGCTGAATTCCAGCAAAAACCGTCGGTTTCGTACGGATCTCAAAAGTGAATGTCCAAACGGCATGCACATGCATTTGGTTCCACAACACGGTTTTCAAAACGAAATTCGCGCGCTCATGCGATCCTTTAGAAAAGCATATGTCTTCAGTTTCAGAAGATGCTACCAAACGGGCTTCGCGCGCGCATGGCGACGTCGTTCGAACGCCCTTGCGCGTGTGCTGTCGCGAGAATCCTTTGCAACAGCTGGGGCGAAGTGCATGCGCGCGCGTTGTCGCGCGCGCGTGCCCAAATACTTCGAGGACCATCGTTTTTCCAAGGATTTCGAAATAGAGTGTCCAAACACATATGCAACACATGGATTCGCAACGTCAGTTTTCAAGAAACGGCGCTCGCGCTCTTGCGAATTCTCAAGGAAGCTATATGTTGTTTAACATGGTCAGTGAATTCTGCCGAGCGCGCCAGTCGCGCCGCATGCCGACATCAGTCGAACCCCCTTGCGCGAGTGTTGGGGTGAAACGATCCGAGTTAAAACGTATTGTGCGGGCCACTCTCGCGCGTCGGCCGCGCGCGCGCGTCGAATTCCATCCGGGACTTTCATCGCCGACGCGAGGGCGCCGTCATCGTCGTCGGCGTGATCTGCATCGGCGCCGTCACTGGCCGTGCCGTCGCCGCAGTCATTATTGTCGCCAACCCCGCTATTGTCATCGCCGTGTCTAACGTTGTCGACGTCGCCATGATACCGCGCCCGCCCAAGTCGCCGACTCGCAGTGAAGTCCCCGCTGGGGCATGCCCGGCGGTCAGCGCCACCGCGGCCGCGTCGGCCGCGCCGCGCTAGCTGGTCGCTGCGCGCGCGAGCATGTGCGGGCTAGCGCGGCCGCAGAGATGCACCAGCCATCATCACGCACTCATCGCAATCGCCTCCGCATGGGTTTTGTAAACCAAGTTGTGGGTGGGTGGGTGGGTGGGATGTTTGCGCGAGCAGTGGAGTTGGCAACTTCAAGTTCGGCAAGATGAGGTGCGTTGCGTATACTCTCCTCGTTGGACAGAGAATGGATGCTACCCCCTCCTAATATGATTCCGCCCCATCGTCCATCCTAAATATGAACTCATACCATCTCAGGGGGCCCAGTATCGACCCCCTCCCGCCATCCCCTGCAGCAGATATTCTGCGCGCGCACTCTTTTTGCAAAAGTCATCAGTTTTCAAGACTCCCCTGCAACAGATGGGACGAAGTGCGCGCGCGCGTCGTCGCGAGCGCATGCCATAATTTTTCAAGCGTCTAAGGTTTCGAACGGATTTTTGAAAAATGAATGTCGTAAACATGTAAAAACATGGTTTCCAACGGAATTTCTCAAAAAGCTTGCGTGCGCGCGTGCGAATTCTTCAGAAATCAATTGGTTTCACAACGTTGTCATAGTATGCTACCAAACAGGCCTCGCGCGCGCGTGTCGAAATCGTTTGAGCGCCCGTGCGCGCGTGCTGTCGCGAGAATCCTTCTCAAGAGATGGGGCGAAGTTCGCGCGCGCGCGTCGTCGTGCGCGCGTGCCGGGACCGATCGAACATCTGAGGTTCGTGAGGATTTTCAAACCGAGTGTCTCATAACTGTGCGACATCACATGGTTTCGCAACGTCAGTTTTCAAGAAAGGGTGCGCGCGCTCTCGCAAATTCTTGAGGAACCATGGGTCATTTGAATAGTGTCACTGAATTCTGCCAGGTGGGCCTCTCGCGCCCCATTCCGAAATGCGCGCGTGCTCGGGGGGCGCGACCCGTGTCAAATAATACGATGCGGCCGCGCGCGCGTGTCGAATTCCTTCCAAAAACTTCATCGCCGACGCGAGAGCGCCGTCATCGTCGTCGGCGTGATCAGCATCCGCGCCGTCACTGGCCGTGCCGTCGTCCTTGTCAACGCCGCCACTAGCATCGCCACGATCATTGTCGCGTCTACCGTTGTCGACGTTGCCATGGCGCCGCGCCCGCCCAAGCCGCCGACTCGCATTGAAGTGCCCGCTGGGATGTGCCCAGCGGTCAGCGCCACCGCGGCCGCGTCGGTCGCGCCGAACCAGCTGGCCGCTGCGCGCGCGTGCATGCGCTGGCTACAGAGATGCGCCATCCAACGTCAGGCGCTGATTTTAATCGCCCCCGGATGGGTTTTGCAAGACAGGTTGCGGGTGGGTGAATGGGGTGATTTCGCGAGCAGTGGAGTCGACCACTTCAAGTTCGGCAGGGTAAATTGCACCGCGTAGAGTGGACCCCGTAGATTCACTTTCCCTAAAAGGGAGCAGACTCGACCCCCCCCCCGGGATTATTCGTTCCCCTCTACGTATTGCAATTGATATATAATTCTGCCCCATCGCCCATCCCAAGTATGAATTCATGCAAACCTAGCCGAGCCGGTATCGCCCCGCCGCCATCCCTTGCAAAACCTATTACGCGTCTGCACTCGTAAACCATTAGTTTCCAAGAATCCCCTGCAACGGATGGGACGAAGTGCGCGCGCGCGTCGTCGCGCGCATGTCGAAGTTTTACCAAAAACCGATGGTTTCGCAACGATTTCAAAACCGAGTACCAACAACATTTGAAAGCACATGGTTTCGCAACATCAGTCTTCAAAAAAGCGTGTGCTCGTGCTTTCGCGAATGCTTAACACAGTCAAGGGTTTCTCAGCATTTGCCAGAGATTCTGTCAAACAGGCTTCCCGCGCTGCATCCGACATCATTCGCGCGCCCTTGCGCGCGTGCTGGGGGCGGGGCACGATCCGTGTCAAATGATACCATGCGGGCCACTCTCGGGCGCCGGCCGCGCGCGCATGTCGAACTCTTTCCAGAACCTCCATCGCCGACGCGAGGGCGCCGTCATCGTCGTCGGCGTGATCAGCATCGGCGCCCGCGCTGGCCGCGCCGTCGTCGTTGTCAACATCGCCGCCAGCATCGCTGCTATCATCGTCGTGTCTACCGCTGTCAACGTTGCAATGACGCCGCGCCCGCCCAAGTCGCCGACTCGCACTGAAGTGCCCGCTGGGATGCGCCCGGCGGTCAGCGCCGCCGCGGCCGCGTCGGTCGCGCCAATCTAGCTGGCCGCTGCGCGCGCGTGCTTGGGTTGGCGCGGCGGCGGAGGTGCGCCAGCCAACGCCGAGCACCCATCGCAATCGCCGCCACATGCGTTTTGCAAACCAAGTTGCGGGTGGGTGTGTGGGATGACTGCGCGAGCAGTGGATTTCACAAATCGTTGCGAACAGAAATTCATGGCACCGCATAGCTGGCACCGCGTAGAAAGATAGCGTAAAGTCTCCTTTCTAAGAAGAGAACGGATTCTCTCTCCCCCCCGGGTTATCCGTTCCCCTCTTCGTATTGCAATTTGCGTTTGGTTGTGCCCTTTCGTCCATCCGTAATATGAATTTACACCGTCCCATGCTGGGCCAGGGCCGGCACCCCCCGCCATCCTCAGCAACGCATATTATATATGCGCGCGCGCTCGTTTATCAAAAATCATCAGTTGTCAAGAGTCCCTTCCAGAAAATTGGGCGAAGTGCACGCGCGCGCGTCGTCGCCAGCGCGTGTCGGAATC